TTTTTTTTTTTTTTTTTTTTTTTTTTTTTTTTTTTTTTTTTTTTTTTTTTTTTTTTTTTTTTTTTTTTTTTTTTTTTTTTTTTTGTGCTAATATAAATAACTATGAATATTTAGAAAAATATATAAATTTGTTTAGTAAGAAAACAAATTGTTTTGTTCATTTTTTTTTTAACCCAAACTCGTTCGGTTCGATTTCGAGTTAATGGGACAAAAAGTTCGGATTGACTCAAACTAAACAAAAATTTGTATAATGCGTTAAGAATTTTAACGTATTCATGGATCCTCTAGAATAGTACTTTACTCTTGGATAAATTTCTTTTATATTATTTTATTATATTATTATTTTTAATTTCTTTTAAAAAAAAAAAAGATAATATTTCATACTATTTCTAAACGCATCATTATAGTATAAATAAATTAACAAATAATTATTCATATACTTTATACTATAATATGAATAAGCTAAAATAACATCTATGACTTTTGTTTTGAATTTAAGAATCTGAATTTAAGAATATGGTTTAGATAGGTTTATTGATTTTGATATATATATATAGAGGTTATTTTCCTCCGGTCATTTTTTCTTATAAATATTTTGACGGTTATAGTATTTACCGTAATTTTTTTTTTAGTATTTTAAGAGTTCTTTTTAACAGTTACATTAGATAGATAAAAAATTAGTTTCAATAAATTTGAAAATTTTGTTATAAAATTGGGATAATAATTCTAAATTCTAATGTATTTATTGTTGTTAGGATCGCACAACAACGCACACACTCGATCTAGATGAACACAAAAAACAAGATAGAGAAAATGAAAGGATAACTCTAGTTAATGGATTTATATTGATGACTACAAATATGTACAAAAGAATACAGAGAATATAGAAAGTATATGTTCAAAGCTCTACTATATATGAGAATACAGAATATATATATGGTTTAGCTTATTATATATAACTTTGTCAGATATAACCATCTACTATATATAACTATCTATCGTATATAACTTTAACAGATATAGCTTTTTACTATACATAGCTATTTACTATTTATGACATTTTACATTATATGTCATTTACCAAATATAGTTTTACTATGTGTAATCGTTGACTAAGCTATAAATAATCAGGAGACTCTATAACCTAACAATTCTCCCACTTGGAGAGACTGATCTAGTCAACCAAGAATTTCATTCTTAAACGACCATGAGCATCTTCATGGCACCATACCAATTGAGGCTTTGCACAATCTCAATATTTCAACATCAACACATTTTGTAAACATGTTTGCTGGATTCTTTGCACCCTCTATCTTCTCCAAACACATCACCATCTTTCACTAACCTGCAAGTGAAATGATATCGTCTTCTGTGTTCTTTCTTTAAATGATAGACCGGTTTTCTCACCAACTGTATAACACTCTGACTATCTCTATAAAGAATCTCTTCATGCTGCTTCTTGCCCAATTCTTCCAGATAGTCAGTCATCCATATTGTCTTCTTTCCAGCTTCAATTATTGCCACGTACTCGGCCTCAGTACAACGCATTTTTGAAGCCTAAACATCCCATCATCCATGGCTTGCTCCCACTTGGTTGTACCCTGCAACTGTAGGGTCTCATTAAAGGGCTTTGGTTCCCTTTCATTAGCAACAGATAGTGTAATGAAGGTACATACATATCTAGTACTCTGATAGTTCTGGATGATCTTCTCAACACCAGTTCAGGTTCCTACTATAACATCACTAGGTGATTTTTTTTCGTAACTCAACCTCAACTCCCACTTGCTTCATTGTATTGAAACCTTGCTCCACATCTGGTTTCTCAGCAGTAGTCTCAGGAGTTTCATGAGTATCTGCTACAACATCACTAGGTGAGTTTCCCTGCAACTCAAGTTCAGCTCCCACTTGCTTCGTGGTCT